ATTGATGTGGGCATTTTCCTCCTTTTCACATAGTCATTTTTTTGTTTCAGTGACAGATTAGCTAACAGCCTAACAGCAGCATACAAGTCAAGCAAGAAATATGAGAACTATTTTTTTTTTTTTTTTCTGTGGACTGAAAAAGTCAGCAAATTCAAAATCTTCTCTGATGCGGTCATGACTACCTACATATATAATTGTGAAGAAATTAAGAAAATATATATAATTGGTCGTAGGCTCGTAGCAACCATTCAAATGCTTCTATATGGACATATAACAAAGGGAAGTAGGGCCAGTTGGGGCTCCAAAAGAGTAATATTATTATTATTATTATTTTTTAATAGTTGTGTCAAAAGATTCATTCATCCTTAATTAAACGTCAATGTGTCAATATTTAATTCATATGTATTAAAGTTCTACTATATGTAACCGGGGGTGGTGGTGGGGTGGGGGTGGGGGTCCCAATTTTCTTGTGCATTATCTTGATTAGATTTTTTTTCTTTATTTTTTGTTAGACCCTGATGTGTTCTGAGTAGGCCTTTAACTATAGAAGATTTTTCTTCTATTTAATTATTAAGTATATTTTTTAAATTTGTGATTAGATTAGCCGATTCATTTACCGCCAATAAAAATATACGAAAATATTTCAATATTTTTTATATCGATATTGTCTTGTCAAAATAAAAAAAAATGAATAATATTTTTGTTATATATATATATATATATATATATATATATATATATATATATATATTTGTGTGTGTGTCAATGCTCTGGCGAGGCGCTGCTCTCTTGTGCGCGATCGTGCGGACATATCAAATCTATAAGATAAGCTGAGATTAAATTGATGAAAATCGCCTAATAATATGATATAGTTTATAAAAAATCGCCTCATAAACTTATAATTTATCTTGAAAAAGTTAAAATTAATTCATTTCGTGAACTCTGCCCATTTAAACCCCTAGTTTATATATGTTTTCAAATCTGAGATACCAAGATATATAAGTTCCGAAGAATCATATCAATTTATATGATGTTTCTAGATTAAAGTATCTATTACCAATACATACAAAGAATCATTTATGCTGATTGTATGTTATGCTATAAGTTTGACCTTCATAAGGTTTCTAATTGGCAAACAGCGCACACACATATATATCCTGCGTGCTCTTATATAAATATATATATGATATACTTTTATATATGTTGAACAATATTTTTCGGTTAGTTGGTATTGTTTTTTATTTGACTTTATTAATGTTTCACACTGTCACTCTTTTTTCCGTCATATAAATAGGGATATGGTAAAGTTAATATAATTATTACTTGTATGATTGTTGTAAATAATAAATTAAAGGTCAAGTATTAGTTCTGAGAGTAGGACCAGTTTATAATTTTCTAAGACAGTTTCTAGACCTAAAGAGCTGTTCTGATCTTCTATTCAAATAACGTTACCAAACTTGTGTACAAGTCAACTTACCTAAGCCATTGCTTTAACTCAGTATTTCTTAGCTTCTTCCTTGCTTTCTTTCCCTTATTTTCTGGTCAAGAAAAAGTTGCCCAGTCAAATATAGTTGTTTAAGCATTTGATTAGTACTTCAAGATAATCTATGGATGACAAGTATTCCAAATTACATATTCGGTGATTCGTTTATTAACTATTGACCAATTTTAATTTATATATATAATCACCGTGCCATTTGGTGAATAATAGTTTGCATTTTAAGAGATTTAATTAAAAGGTTTAGACGAACGGGGATTAGTCTGAGTATCAATCGTTATGTTGTACATGGTGCACACGGTTGCGAACGACGCCGTTTTACTTTTATGGTGTAACGGTGCTGTTAGTGGCACCGTTTGACTCCACCAATCTTTTTTTTTTTTTTTTTTTTTTCAACTCCACCAATATGAATATATAGTTCATTCATTCTGAATACACAGTACCAGTAACCGGTGTGGATATATAGTTCACTAATTCTGGATATATAGTTCATTAATTATTGATATATAGTTCATTAATTATGGATATGTAGTTCATTAATTCTGGATGTGGATATATAGTTCACTAATTCTGGATATATAGTTCATTAAGTATGGATATATAGTTCATTAATTCTGGATATATAGTTCATTAATTCTGAATTTATAGTTCATTAATTCTGAATATATAGTTTATTCATTCTGAATACACAGACGCAACGAACTGCCATAAGCCAATACAGAGTACTAGTAACCGGTTGGATATATAATTCACTAATTCTGGATATATAGTTCATTAATTCTGGATATATAGTTCAAATTATGCACAGCATAACGCTGTTAACGGCAATCGACAATGAATTTTTATTTTATTTTTTTAAGTCAGACAACGTCATTTTTAATCAAAACAACGCCGTTTGCAACCGTGTGCATCATGGTTGCACGACATAATTTGCGTCTAAGTATGGTACGGGCTTAAGGTGCATCCTATAATTAAGGACTGCTTAGACACCTCGTGACCTGATCAAAAAAATTAAAAAGTTTATATAAGTAAGATCATGAGTTCAATTCTTACTAATTTCTTCGTAATCAAGTATATCTCGCATAGAGTTTTTTTTTTTTTTTTTTTTTAGTGTAGTTAACTTATCTTGTATGCTTTGCAGACTATTATGGAGTTTATTTAGTGCACATCTTTTTATAATTGTTACATGTTTCTCTCGTTCTCGTCACTCAAAAGAAAAGGTTTTTGTACACAAATTCCTTTTTACTAGGGATGGGATACCTAACCCTTCTTGAATCCTACTAAGATGGGTTTGAATGTGTAGAAGTGAAAACCCGGAAACCAATACATGATTGTATATACATACATAGTTTGAAATATATTAAACAGGTTTTGAGACAAGTTTAGATACTCTACTCGGAAAACTTACTAAGATGCAGGGTTTGGATATGTATCAATGAAATCCTGATAACTAGTGGGTATATATAGTTTTAAATATACGGAGTATTAAACAAGTTTTGGGACATGTTTAATTTTTAAGGTCTAGATTAAATGTGTGCGAACGCGCTTAAGTGTGTGTAAATGCGATTGATCTAGATTGGTCTAGTTGACATTGTGAGATCAAATCTTGTGCATCAATCTAATAAATTTAATGGTCTATATTGATCTAGATTAAGTGTGTGCGAATGTGATTAAATGTATGCGAACGCGATTAAGTGTGTGCGAATGCGATTGATTTAGACCATTAAATAATATTAAATGGATGCACACGAGTTGTTCTCACGTTCTCACCTAAGCAAGTGTTCTCATTGGAACCCTCCTCTAGGATCGCGTTCCGATGCGAACAGCCCGCCCAGGAGAGAACTGAGAACTATTCAGCGCTGTCCACGTGTCTAGATCAACGAATCGGATATAATTTTAAAAAACGACGCTGTGTCATTTTCATAAATAATTCTAACTTTGGTGCAAGTAAATGTGTTATAAGTGCAAGTAGTTGGTGCACCTTTGCAAGTAAAAAGTGTGGGCAAATTCACTTACAAGTGCACCTACTTTCACCTACAAGTGCATGTAATTTTGCCTTGTTAACATTCATGCACATAGCAGGGATGGCAATGGGTCGGGTGTGGGTTGGGGAAGGCTACATCCATCACCCGATCCACCTTATATTTTCTCCACCCACCTCCACTCCCAACCCACATCGGGTGGACTTTTTCAAAATCCACCCCAATCCCACCGGGTGCGGGTGCCCACTACGGGTACCCACCACTTATCAACTTATTATTTTTTTCAAAAAAGAATATTTAAATTACTTACACATAATAAAATAATAAAAATTCATTAGTGATACTAAAACATAAAATAATTGAAATATTTAAATATAATAATTAATTTGTAAATTTTTAAAAATAAACTTAGTAGTTTAGATATTAAAAAAAATAGTTAAAAGATACATGAAGTTACCTATTGAGAATAGCTAAAATAGATGGATACCTTACCAATTGACCCCTGCCTTTTATGGTTCAAAACCGAACCCTAATTCATGCATATTGATGGGTGCCTTTATAAGTCTATAGACTATCTTAAGCACATTTTTTTTTGAATACTACTAACTCTATTACAATGCAGTATCTATTCATAATTACTTTCTCAACCAATTGAAGTACAAAGAGCCAATATCACCTCCACTGAGGCTCGATCCCATAACCTCCCAATTAATGGACTAACTTGCATGCGTATCTTAAGCACATAGTTTTCAAATTCCTTAATTATTTCATTAGCATCTAGAATAAATTAAAATGTTAGGAGGTGTATTCAATCAAAACTTTTAGACAACTTTTAATGAGTTTCAAAGTGATGCGTTTTAAATGATTTTCATAAAATTTTTCTAGATTTTTCTAGAACTTTTTTAGGCTTCATCAACTTTAATTTGTACAAATCTATAAAAGTATCAAGTATGTACGACAAATATTTATGAACTTTTAAAAACTTTAATTTTTTGATGGAATGAGGAGCATGAACAAAGCTTTTGTGTATTGATGGTGAGAGATTACAGAATGGAAAAAATGAGTTACAGGGAGAACTACTGCATATTTATATGAGCGGGAAAGGGGTGGTTATAACAGAATTGGAGACTAGCAAAGTTACAGTGATGCCCTTTCGTATCTACACCCTCTATTGCTGCAGTGTCACTAGCTTCCTTCATCACCCCCCCCCCCCCCCCCCCCCCGCGGGTAAGCTGGAGCATGTAAATCTTGCATGCCCAGCTTAGAGGTAAAACTCTTGAACATAGCAGTGGGGAGTAGCTTGGTGAAAAGCCATTGGCAATTTGGTTTGAAGTAGAAACAAACAGAAGCTTAATCAAGCCTTGAGAAACCTTCTCCCGGACAAGGTGACAATCAATTTCAATATGTTTTGTTCGCTCATGGAATACATGGTTTTCAGCAATCGCTACAGCGGATTTATTATCACAAAATATCACTGCCAGTTTCATCTCCATATGAAAATCCTTGAGCAGAAACACGATCTATTGAACCTCACATGTAGTAGCATCTAAGGCCCGATACTCTGCCTCTGCGGAGGATCTAGAGATGGTGGCTTGTTTCTTTAATCTCCAGGAAACAAGAGCTGAGCCAAGGAATACACAGAAGCCGGTAACCAAATTTCGTGTTTCAAAGCAGGATGCCCAGTCCGAATCGGAGAAGACTCTGACATTCAAGTCACCTCCTTTTGGATAGAACAAGCCTTGTCCAGGATCACCTTTGATATAACGCAACACACGATGAGCAGCGATCAAGTGTTTATCAGTTGGTGCGTCAACAAATTGACTGAGGTTATGGACAGCATAGGCGATATTCGATCTCATCGTCGTGAGGTATAACAGTCGCCCAACCAATCTCCTATAGCTGCCGGCTTCACTGAGAGGGGTACCATCATCATGCCTTAAAGAATTTCCAAGTACCATAGGAGTGGCTACTGCCTTGCATTCGAGGAAACCTTATTCTGCAAGAATGTCCAGCGCATACTTGCATTGGCACAAGTTTAAGCCTAGTTCATCCATATTGGCTTCAATGCCCAGAAATTAACCCAATTCACCCAAGTCCTTGATTTTAAAAGCATCATCGAGGAAGTTGTTTAGCTTAGTAATGAGTTTCAAGTCTGGAATGGAAACTAGAATATCGTCTACATAAACAAGAAGGGCAATGAAGTTGGCATTTTCTGTTGAGCATATAGCCATTAATGTGCAATCAACTATCAGCTTAAGTTTTTAGTTGAGATGAAGCACATGCTTCAATTTGGTATCAGAGCCAGACCAAAGGTCATGGGTTCGAATCTCAGCATCACCCATAAGCAATTATTGGAACCCACCGCACACATGAGGGGGCATGTTCAACTTAAGCTTATCACTCTCAGCGCCACCTAGGCATGTTCAACCTAAGCTAAGCTTATCTCTCTAATGAATATGCCACCTGCGAGAGTAATGTCTAACTGATGAATATGCCACCTGCGAGAGGAAGATGGAAGCTGGAAATATGCCGCCTGCGAGAGGAAGCTGGAAGGCACTATGCCACCTGCGAGAGGAAGCAATGGCCATGAAGGGTTCACCGTGTAGGAAGCAATGGCCATGAAGGGTTCACCGTGTAGGAAGGCACTATGCCACCTGCGAGAGGAAGCAATGGCCATGAAGGGTTCACCGTGTAGGAAGGCATTGTTAATGCCACCTGCGAGAGGATGTCTAACTGATGAATATGCCACCTGCGAGAGGAAGCAATGGCCATGAAGGTCCGGATTGTGGTTAGCCTAGCAACTGGGGAGAACGTCTCAATATAGTCAATCCCCAATTGTTGCGTGTACCATTTGGCAATGAGTCTCGCTTTGTACCTCTCTATAGATCCATCAGCATGCAACTTGATTTTATACACCCACTTACAACCTATGGGAATTTTTCCAGCCGGTAGGGTGGTCAATTCCCATGTATTATTTTCTTGTAGAGTTGTTATCTCTGTGTTCATTGCTTCCTTCCAACAATCATGTTGAATAGCTTGATTGTATGACTTTGGCTCAGTCATAGAGGTCACATCCATAGAGAAAGTTTTGTGAGATGGAGCAAGACCATCAAAGGATATTGTGACAACCCAAAAATTTATTTTATAAATCCAGTTTTAAGAAAATCCAAATAGCCAATTTTCACTCCATAAAATTTTTTATAAAGAAAGTGGTGTTGAATAAAATATTTTGAGCCATTTTAAATTTAATTCGACACCAAGAATGGATTTAATTCCAATATTCTGATTTTTCAGGTACATTGCGTGCCACGTTTTGAACTAAGAAATCTATCTAAGTGAAACCGGGAGAATTCTGAGAAGCTTAAACCAAGTGATCATCTAGAAAACATTTTGGGAAAATTCCATTTTCAACCCCAAAGTATTTTGAAATAGTAATTCTAGCCCTTGGTTCATGGAGTATGGTGGACCACTAGACATCCAAAGCCTTTCCTGATTCATCTTTCTTGATTCATCTTTTGCCATCAACTAATCATATGGAATCAACCTAGGGTTTTGTGCTCCTATAAATTGGACACTTAGCAGCTTTGCCTCCTTGTTTCCACCCTTGAGCTCCTATATCCCCCTGCAAGAACACCAAGAAAGACAGTAAGTTTTCATCATCTTCCATTTCAATCCTAGCCTTCCATTTCATCTTTGCTTCCATCCTTCTCTGAGTTTTTAGGTTAAGGTTGGTTGTGTGGTTTGTTTGAGATGTTTAGGAGGTGAAGGAGGTTGTAGCTAGCTAAGGAGGGAGGTGGACCCCAAGCTAGAAGAAGAAGAAAGCTCTAAAGGTATAACCCATGGACTCCCAATGTAACACCCCCCAAACACGACCTATATAAAAGGCCTTAACACCTGCAGATCATACACAAAACTAGCACAGCGGAAGAAGATAAAAACGAAAGCTGGATAAAAAAAATCCGAACGAGGTGTTATGCCACGTCTACCAAACACGGTAAACGCTATGGCGATCAATCTGCAAGTGTATACATCTATCCCAAAAAGGTAACAGTCTAACACTACAACGGCACACAGGCCACGAAATAAAGGTAAAAGGTACTAGACTACTGGCCACTAACATCGCGCTCGTCTAGACATCACCTGAAAGACACAAAGATAAACATTGGGACGACGCCCGGTCAGCGATAATGCTGGTAGCCCACCAATACCTGTTAAGTATCATACATAGGTAGGGTATATATACAAAAATCATTTCAAAACGGAATACATATATATAAGTGTAAAACCGAGAGTAAACACCAACTCAAGACTCAACACTCATCAATAAATACCACGGGAACACATCCCAAGACCACAACGGATAACGACACCACAAGGATAAAGACACGACACACGGCAACACATGCCCTTGTGACTACACACGTCACAAGATAAGAATACACAACCACGGCTACACAAGCCCTCGTGACATCACCCGCCACGAGTTGATATGCCTTCCTTATGCCCTGTTCCAACGATGAATAACACAAGTTATCATCAACCAAACGGAAGGTACAAACAACACACACGCTAGCATTTAGACAACAAACTAGCATGCTTATCAACGGGGAAACTCAAGATAGTTCCGAGGAACACACAAGACACATCTCGGTCCAACGAAACACAATGTTGAACACTTAGCACGAATCAAGACACCAAAGTCCTACATGGATACCTACCATATAGTTCTAGACATACGAAACATCAAGAAGACGCTCAAATAGTTCCACAAAAGAACAACGGGAAGTCAAAAGACCAAATACCGAGTCAAACGGATCACGGGGAGCAAATCCCATCACAACACCAACCATGTACCCGCGGGTAGTGCCCCACCCGTGGTTCCGCCCGCGGGAAAATCATCCCACAAGGCCGTGTACCTGCGGGTAGGCCGGCGGGTGGTGCCCCGCCCCCCGTTCCGCCCGCGGGTACACTCTTGTACCACAACAAATCCCTTCGGGGATTTTCTTCTCCAAACACAAATTCAAGTCCAAAACATGCCAAATCTCACCCAACACAACAAAATGACTTGAATCATGCAAAATGCCAAGCAATGGCACAAAGGAACCCTAAACACAAGCTCTAGATATGCAATATCACAAGACAAATGCATAAACCCTCACATTTCATAGCAAAACACAAGTAGAATCCAAGAAATCACATATAGGTAAGCAAAATAGGTTTTAGTAGAGCATGGGTTACCTCTTGTAGACCAAAAGACTTCACTTAACACTTCACAAGCTCCCCACAAGGCTTACTTTCCAAACCCACTTCAAGATCAAACCAAAAGATCATAAAGATCCTACCTTTAAAAAAAAGACAACTAAGATGGAACCAAAAAGACAAGATAGACTTAGATCTTACCCTCCTAGATGCCCAAATAGGTGAAAGGTTGAATCTTGGAAGCAAATCTTGGAATCTTGACAAGGGTCTCAACTTAGCTTGGAGAATAAGCTACACCTCTTTTCTAGAGAGAAGGTGGAACTAATTTCTAAGAATTGTAAGGAATGAAATGAAGAGGTCTTCTAGGTTAGGATACAATACTAACTCTTGGTGAAAAGTCAAGAATACCCTTACTAAGCTTTAGAAAGTGTAAGGGACAAGGGAACTCCCCTCAAAGCTCAAGGTACAACACAACTTAAAGGTTGACTAGTCAAATACTAGTCCTTGAGTATTAAAAATCAGGATTTTAGGAATTAATTCCTCAAATGAAATAGGATTAATTACTCAATTAATCCATGGATTGAATGTGGATTTTTGGGGTGTCACATCCTCTCCCCCTTCAAAGAAGCTTCGTCCCCGAAGCTTGGGTACGACGAATAGAAACAAACGGTGGTAAGAAACAACATTGTGACAAGAGATTCAAGAACGAATCCTTTTGGTCAAACTCAAAAGGTTCTTCAAGGGTTTCAAACAAAGAAAGGGCATAAAAATTCAAGAATTGTCAAGAACATAACAAGGAGAAGATTGAGCATCACAACTCTATTCTCGACACCACATCTATTTCTACCCAAACACTAAGAACAAGATAACCAACACAAAACACCACTACTACTACCAAGCTAACTAAGCCACAAGGCTACAAACAAAGCAAGCACAAATGCAACAACAAGCAACCAAACAACGGCGACAACGGCCAAAGAAAGCAACCACAAGGAAAAGGCGAACAAGGTAACCACGACTACTAGAAAGACTCGCTCTTCGACTCCCCGGACTCTTCCTCGTCTTCTCCTCTACGGCTCGAGCTGGTTTCGATCTGATCTAGCCGATGGTGCACAGCAACGAACTGCGTCTTCACGAAGGCAAAACCCTCCTCTAACATGCGGTTCTGCTGACGAAGCAAAGCAACAACACGCTCTTCGTGCGACGTGGGGTCGTGCTCCCTCTTGGTGCGAGCTTCCCTTCTTCGTTGGTTCTCTTCACTCTCCGAGTCGCTTTCCTCAGCCTCAACGGCTTCTGGTGCTCCCACCTCTTCCTCAAGATCGGCTTCATCCTCGGCTTCTTCGTCACCTCCCAAGCTCTGAACAGCGAGGCTCAACTTCCCGGCATGGATTCCAAGCACAGCTGCCAACTCCGCTCGTTCATCAGGTGTTTTCCTTGCCACTTCCTCAAGCGTGATGTACTCACCATCATCCAACTGAAACAGGTGACAACTCCGAAGGTTGGCGGCATCCAACACTAGCTTTCCCACAGCCTTAGGAAGACAACCATCCACACTGACGCCCTTCCTAACCAAGATCCAACTCAACACCATTCCATAAGGCAAACTCTTCCGATTGTGATCCTGACAAAACACCATGTGTTGCAACATCAAAGCAGGCAAGTTGAACTTAACCATATTCTTTAGATAGAAAGCAAAAGTGCACTCCAGCTTACCCAACAACTTGCTCTTGTTATTATTTGGCAACAAACAGTCCGACACCAACATCACCAAGATCCTTTGCTCCGCAGACAATCACTTTTTTTCCGGCCTAGAGGCTTGAGTGAAACCACTTGTACGGCCTAACAAGTAGCTCAAATAGTCACGGTACCCCATGGTATCCGTACTAATCCAAGAATGACCACTGTACTGAGCCACTCTAGTAGCAGACACACTCAACAACTGAGCCAACCTCTTCTCAGAAGGCACAACCTTTACACCTCTCACCTTAGAGGTGATCTTAAGCCTGTCACCCTCCTTCGTCACAACCATGTG